TATATATACTATCAATAATCATTCAGCTAATCAATATTTTAGTTAAATATAATATTTACAAATTTGTAATCTTGTTTTTATGTTATTTGATTGATGAATTTCATTGTTGTTCAATCGCTAACAGGTGCAGCTGAATCATCACTGCGGTATTTTCGTGACCTTGAATCCGGCGGGCGGGGAGTACGGCGGCAGACAGAAGCTGCCTGGTAATATTCAGGCGCTATTTCGGCCGATTGTTATGCAACAGCCGGAGCCGGGCGAAATAGCGCGCGTTATGCTATTCGTGGAGGGCTTTGCGGCCGCTGCGGATATTGCGGCGCGCATCGTGGAGCTCTTCGATCTGTGCGGTAAAACGCTGTCAGCCCAGCGGCACTACGACTGGGGACTGCGCGAACTGAAAACCGTGCTGCTCGTTTGCGGCGAGGGACTGCGCGCGCAATTAGCGGGCATGCCAGCCGCGGCCCCACTTAATGAGCATTCCGATGCCAGTCAGAGCCCTGCGGCGATGGGTAATGATGAAATGCGCATTGTTGTCCATTGTCTGCGCTCATCAACCATGTCCAAGCTGGCGCAACAGGACGTTGAGCGTTTCGAAATGTTGCTGTTGAATGTGTTTCCCGAAATTGGCGCCTCGGCGGTGCCGTTGACACCGCTGCATCAGGCACTGGCCGCCGCCTTCGGCCCACTGGCGCTGCGCGCCAACGACAAGCAAATCGAGAAGGCATTGCAATTGCACGAACAGCTGCAGAAGCGCATGGGCGTGGTCCTCGTCGGCCCACCTGGCTGCGGCAAATCGAGCATTCTATCACTGCTCCGACAGGCACTGACCGCAACGACTGGCACCCAGCTGCGCGTCCACACCATCAGCCCCAAGTCGATGAGTCGCGTGCAGCTGCTGGGACGCCTCGACCCAGATACGCGCCAGTGGCTAGACGGCGTCCTCACCCACACAGCGGTGCTGGTCAATCAGGAGCCGTCGCATGTCCACTCGTGGATCGTCTGCGACGGCAGCATTGACCCCGAGTGGATAGAGGCTCTGAACTCGGTGCTGGACGATAATAAGTGAGTATTGAATGTGAGCATATAAATAGTTTAAGACTTTACTTGATATCCTAATCAGTTTACTCTGGATCTTCTTGATCCAATTTGGCTTAGCCAAATGTTCTACTTGAAATTTTACTCCGTTTACTTTGGATCTTCTTTTCTACTGTCTCAATTTAGTACAAATTTAAGGCAAATTTAAGAAATCTTTTTGGATTTTCTAGGATCTTACTCCCTTATAAATTAAATCTCATTCCTATGACAGTCAAGCCTATCAATTTCTGTACATTTTCCCCCATGGAATCACTTCTCAGATACATAAAAATAAATTGCGTTTCTTTATCATTTTTTAGCAACAGCTTTTGCTAATATATTTTGCTCGTACATGCGCATAAATTCGTATTAATTATTTGCGGCTTGCCATATATATAATATAATATATGTATATATACTATAGTATATATCGTTTGGGATACACGATTTGTTAAACATACATATCAATTATCATTTGTATATCGTATCGTATCTTAATGTTGCATGTATTGTATTGTACGGATGGGCAATCGCATGCCCTATCACTTAGCTACCGAGAAAAACGAAAGCGACTTAAAACATAGAAATGCTCAAAACTATGACATAAAATGAGGGAAGCCCACTAAAACAATAACGTAACGTAACGTACTAAACGTAATACACAACGTAACGGCATTTTACAAATGACGTCAAAGAGTCTCTCTTCATTCTGACATTGAACTGGCGTGTGGGTGCGAGAGGGAGATTGCTGTTTTTCGGAACTAGTCTA